ATTTATGTATGTGTGTGTGTGTGTGTATTTATGTATGTGTGTGTGAGAGAGAGAGAGTGTGTGTGTGTGTGTATCAGTATACTACAATGTGCAGGTATTTGTATGTAATAACTAGGAGTATACGTGTACGCGAATTGGGTTGGACAGCGGCACATGCACCAGCAATTGGGTTGACATCCTTTAGGAACACGAATATAACAATATACCTGATTTATCTCCCAATATAAACTCGGTTTAGCTGCTGGAACTCACCCAATTTTGGGCTAAGAGCCCTTTATTTACCTTTTTGCCCATCTGTCTGCTCCAATCAGTTTCGCCTTCGTATCGTCCGAAATTGAAGATCTGTCACATCCGAGATTACAAAACGCAATCAACGGTATAAGATACAAAAACATGGAATAAACGTAATTAAACAAATGAGAGACATGAAAGGAACGTGTGTTGTATGCAATGCTTTTGTTTTTGTTTTTGTTTTTGTTTTTGTTTGTCTTTTTGCTTTTGTTTTATACGAACGTGAACTTAGTATATGGCTTGGCAAGTGTGTGATGCTGTAGGTCAATTACCTTTTTTAGAAGCCCCAAGAACGCCGAGAATGGTCTCTGATCGGACACGTCGGCAAAACAGAAATAGCTTTTCAACTTCCTCTGCGCACACAGGCGCATTGTTTCCACCGCTAGGGCTGTCTTACCGGAACCAGCTGTACACACGTAAACCCAAACGCCAATGCCATTTTAACTCTCCACCATTGAAACACTCCCGAATTCAAGCTCGGCCGATTCCGATTGGTCGGTTGATAAAAATCGGATCACAGCCGCGATGGGCGCAGCCCTCCGCGGTTCAGGCGAACACGCGCAAACGCAGAGGGCAGTAACAGACCGTGTGAGAAAGAGTGAACAATCGCTTCAATTGACAGCTCAGGGGGGTGTCACGTACCTTCGCCTTCTATACAGATCACCTGTGGCAGTGTGTTCTTGGGCGCACTCTGCAGTTGGTCTATGGCCTGGGTGTACGAGGAGGGGTGGGTGTACGAGGGGGGGTGAGTGTACGAGGGGGGGTGAGTGTAAGAGGGGTGGGGTGGGGGGTAAAGAGAGACGAAATAATGGAGGTAGTCCTAATCTCTCTCTCTCTCTCTCTCTCTCCTTCGCCCTGCCAACTATACACTGACTGTAATACAATGCATAATAATTGATACACACTACACAATACATACACACACCTCACATACAACCACTTAATAACAATAGATACACACTACACACTACACACACACACCTCACTCGTAGTCTCTCTCTCTCTCTCCTTCACCTTGCCAACTATCCGCTGGTTTCTACACAATCAATAACAACAGATAAACACCACATACTACACACAAACACTTCACGCAACACCTGTACTCTACATGCCCAGGTGCACCCATACATCCATCTTTATACACACACTTATACATCCATCTTTTTACACACACCTCACGTATCACATGCGCTCTACATGCACAGGTGCACCCATACATCCATTTTTATACACACACCTCGCTTATCACCTGTCTCTCCTTCACCCTAGCAACCACCCGCTGGTTTCTATTGGCCAGTACTTGTGCACGGTCTGCGACTGTGACGCTGTCACGTGTCTGTACCTCAGCCGTCCCGCCAACGCCCAATCTCCGCACAGGTCTAAAGACGGGTGTTAATGTGTCTATGCCTGTGCACGCGGGTAGGTGGGTGGCCCTAAGTCTTAGTACCAGGTATGCACCGATCAAACTTAGCGGTTTTGTATATAACTTGGGGTTTTGGACAAAACGGTGGGTTTTCAAATAAAACTCAGGGTTTTGGATAAAAATTCGGGTTTTAAATGAACTTAGGGTTTTAAACAAAACATAGGGTTTCATAATGGGTAGGGTAACATCCCTCCTATTCGTGTGTGTGTGTCTTGTGGTGCAGTAGCTGCACTCTCCTGTTCACTGAATGCGTGTGTGTGCTGCTTTGCTACGTGTATTAAGCAGATACGTTCAAGTGCACGTGCAAACCTAGTACGAGTATTCATCCCTTGGACACTACACGCACATCTGTGCGTATGACAACATATGATGTGATATGACATGATATGATATGATATGCTATGATATGATATGATATGATTATATCTATACACAGTGACCGGGAGAGATGGTTCACAACTATAGCCTCACCCATACTGATAATAGCCAGGTATGTTTATATGTGTGTATGTGTGTGTGTCGCAAATGCACACGTATGTACGTCACAGAGATCCATGACACCACTATTCGTATGAGTTCTCTATGCACACTCACACCAAACACCAATTGAACATGTGGTGTGCCAATACCATCACCTCTCGTACACTTCTACGGTATTGCTTAGGGTTTAGGGTCTCCACCACACCGAGCACATGTGAAAAAGAGATCAGATCGCATGTTGTACATGTACATACACACTC